GCGGTGCCAGCAGTCACCGGGCCAAGGTCAGTCAGCACTCGCTCGACGTGGCAGGGAGCGTATTTTGGGATGGAGAGGTCACGTGGTTAATCAAGTGGAAACAGGGCGAGAGGCCGTTAAAGCACCGTGTACTCACTCTGCAAGCGCGCCAGGTTAAGGAAAGATGGGGACGTGTGGATGTGTCCAAAGAGAACATAAAAATACCGGCATTTAGCGTGTTGCACAACAGAAAGAGCTGGCGAGCCCCTAATCCTGAGAGCCTGTTTATCTGTCTTGGCAGGGAGCTACGAGCGCTTCAGTCTGGATTCTCAAAAGTGCCTGAAAACTGCGGAGGCAGAATGACAGCCCTGTCGAAGCCTGCTCTGCCACCCTGCCCTCTGAATGCTTCTAACTCCAGTAATCTACGGCCTGTTAAGCTGATTTAAAGGTGGAAATATTAAAAATCGGAGCAGGATACAGCCTTAGTAGGAACAAAGCCATTTTAATTCCCCGGGCTTAAATGCCGCCCTTGACTCCACTCCTGTGTTTCAGCGGTTCATGGGAACCCTGATAAACTTGGGCTGTTTTTGGTGGAACCAGATTACGATAGCAAGGACCTTGAAATGTCTCCTAAACAAAGCGTATTGCACCTGGAGGAAGACAAAAGGCCTGCTTGTAACAAAAAAGTCTCTCAGTCGTTAGGTTTTGTACTAATTCAAAGAGCTGATCTTTAAACCATCTCTCTTGCTTTCCTATTGGTGCTAATTCTGCTGCTTCGCTTAAAGATCCGTCAGCAATTTTATTACAACCTCTTGTTTTCAGGGATTTTTGACTTGGTCATAAAAGTGTGGTCCCAGCTGAAACTTAACATATAAGGTTACCAAACTAAAAAAAAAAAAGGAAAGGAAAAAAGCAAGTGAGTAAACTCAGATATTTTTAAGGCTATAAAAGCATAAAAAGAACCAGAAGCATGTAGTTTCAAGCCATTACAATGATTATTTGTTTTCCCTAGACAGAAGAAAGAGTTTTATTTAATTTGTTTATTTAACCAATGGGTAATTAATGAATCACTAGTTGGAAACACTGTTTGGGCTAAATTGGAAAAAAAAAAATTGAAGTTATTTAATTGCACGTGGTTTTGGATAATATTCCGAACCCCACTAGTTAGAAATTTATTTATGTAATTTACTATCTAAATATTAGTGCCTCCAAAAGAATTCCTTCTTGGCCTGATGATTTACACATTTAAAATATTTCTATTGGACTTGAAAAAAATGATACTGTAAAGGAACCACATAAATTTGTGTTTATATAAAGCTCTTGAATTACAGATCTACCCACACCAGTTAACATTAACCACTGTAAAATCAGTGGTTATGTATTTTGTATCTGCTTCAGGCTGGTGTTAGAAGAAACTCAGTCACAAAATGTAGACAGATATATTTATGATTATTATATATATAAATTTAAATGCTCATCAAAGATCTTACTTAAACTTTTTAAACAACACCCCAGCACAGCTCACATGGCTCTGTCTATTTTCTTCTTCCCTCCATGCAAAGGCAGAGGTGAGTTAAGGTTGAAGCATTGGCCAGGTTTGGAGCTTTAACTGAATTTCCTTGCTCTGTGCGTGTAGGTCAAATCCTTTGACATTATACGCTTGGTACTGGCACAAAGTAATCTTTCAACTTAAACCATGTGTGATGTGGTGGAAGCTTTTCTCCCCTTCTGTTCCCCTTTGGCCTGTGAATTGGCTATGGTTAGATCTTTTAAATGAACAGGTGTACTTTCTCCCTCCTTGTGATATGAAAGAAGCATAAAACTCGATTATAGCAATTTATGGTCTCTTAACTTGCTTGGACTTGTATCCATGACACAAGCAGCTTGATGCTCAAATTCAAGACTTGGTAAAAAAGGAAGTTAAAATTAACCTCAATCCTTTTATAGATGAAAACCTCAACAAATAAACGGCGGTTTAGTGGCATGGCAGCCTGCCGCTTTAAATCCATTAAATCCAAAAATTATTCTGAGATGTCTATTTTGAGTCAGTTTTGTTTTTCAGAAAAAGATAATTGGGCTTGGATGAATAGAGGAGTAGCCTGTGATTCATACTGGTGCGAGTTAAAGAAAAGTTTAATGCTGCTGCTTGGAAGTTAGCAATGTATAGGATTTTTATGCCTTATTTTGTGCCTATACAAAAAGCAGTCTGTGCTTTCTTCAGTGAGAGAGTTTCAATGGAAGTGTTTCAGGATGCAAAGATGTGCAGATAGGTATAGCAATGCTATGGAGCAGGTCAGAAGTGCTTCATGGTTGGGGGCCTGCATTCTGAAATGTAGTGTTGACTATTAAAAAAAATAGAAAAAATCCCAACTCTCTAGAGGTCACATAGAAGATCAGCCTGAAAACCAGCCATCCTTTGAACACAGGAATAAAATGTGGTGCTGGAGTTCCTTCCCACCCTAGCCCTTTTCCCCTGCACAATAGTGTGACCCTGAAAAGACGAGCCCTAGAAATTAAAATGTGTCTGCAGCAGAGACAGTCCCACATGAGGGAGGCTTCAGTTTGGGGCTTATTTTACTGATAGCGACTGCAAGCCCCAGCAAGTTGCTCAATGGGTAACATGCACACTTTGGAGGCAGAGGAAAAGGGGAACTGGGAGAAAGCAGCCCGAGAGGTGAAGAGGAGGGTATCAACGAGGAGACGTTAGCAGTTCGATTGCCACCATTTTCTGAGCTACGTCCGCAGGTGAAACGCATTAAAATCTTGTTTGCAAAGAGCAAAGCGGAGCAACATGCTAAAACTATTTGTGGAGAGAGCAGCTGAATCCCTGGCCGAGTGTGAAAAGCCTATCGCTCTGAAGTCGCACAAGCGAGGGGCTTTCACCGGGAACCGGGGAAGAGGGATACTTGACGTTAAACCTGATACCCTGCTAAGCATTTAGTGTTCCCAAGAAGCTGAAGAATGCAAGTCTGCAACCGATACCTCCACCCACGTAGCCGCTGGCTGCTGAGTAGCCATAAGAATACGTGCGTTTTCTTTTATAGGAACGGAGCTGTGCGCAGGAGAAACCTGACATGGTTTGCTCTGCAGATCAGGAAACGACATGAGGGGTCTGCCAGGGGCTGGGAGAGGTGTAGGACTGGATCCTTCACCTGAGCTGACCTGGCATGTCTCCAGGGATGGCAGGAGCTGGGGGGTCCTTCCAACTGTCTTTTTGCACACCTCTTTCTACAGTACGGCCTGTGGCAGTATGTTGATTTATTTCCCATGCTTCTCAAAAACACCCGCTTTGCTCACAGCAAAGTCAACGGCAGATTTGCAGTAGATTCCACTAACTCAAAGACCTTCCTAGCCCTGGGAACAAAAGGATGCAATAAACATTTGCCTGAGGTAAGCCACAACCTTTTCTGCATGCAACAGAGTGCTCCGGTTTTAAAAATCAATGCTGAAAAATGAACTTATTCCAATTTACTGTAACTATTTCTCCCCAAGACCCCAGCAGAGAACCTTGTCTAAGGCCATTTCATTCTGGGTGGAAGAACAGAGGAAAACTCCATTGGGAACAGCGCTCGCTAAAACTAATACTGTCCTGCACCATCCCTTTAGGTGCATCTCACTATGACCTGGTTTCATTGGCATCATCTGAGCCTGAGTCTCAGAGGAAATCAGACTCCTGAGTCACCATGTTGCAGGTTTTTGTTCAAATAAAACCCACTGGATAACCACGGGCCACAGAAACACGCTCAAACCAGCCTGTCCATGTTAACATCTTGGCACTAAGAGGTCGTCTTCAGGGGACAAAGCACCTTTTGCAAAGCTTTCTTTGCTACTGCCTTCCTGGGAAATACCAAAGCAAGGCCTTGACGATATTTCTCTCTCATCGAAGCACACAATGTAGTTGCTAAATATCCATCGGGAAATACACCCACACATAGAAAAATGCCTGGCATAATGCATCTTTGCAAGAAAACAACAACTTTCAAGATGTTACAGTTCTAGCATATGTGACGTTAACAAACACCTTGAGCTGCACTGACACTGGGCAGATGAGACAATACAGACCCCTTAAAATCTGTCAGGTCTTTAGAAATACAGACACACATTAGAAAGCACCTCCTTTCACTTCTTAAAGGCTCTCACTCATTAAAGGCGGCCAAGGAGAGTCCAGACGAGATGGAGAGATGAGGGGACAGTGCCTGCAATGCGGGGTGGAGGTGGGCGAGCAGGGGGAGGATTTCAGGTACTTACCCTGAATCTGACTCTGAGGCTGAGGGTTAAAAGCAGTGGTGTGGTTCAAGGAGGCTCGTGGGTTGGGTGTGGGGGCTGGGTGGTGTGGGCTGACCCTCATGGCCGTACGACGCAACTGCTCCAGTTCACTCAGGCGCTCTGAAAAGGACAAGCTCCCGGGCTTTGTCTGCTCATCTATTTTCTGACGATGTCCTATTGTGGGAGGGGGGGGAAAAAGATCAGAAAATCTCACTGATACATGAGGTCTGTTGATTTATTTCCTTTTTTTAAATTTTTTTTCTTTTTTTTTTAACCCCTCATCCACTGGCAAAATACCTAAGCAGCTAGCGGCCATCTGAAATTAAACTGAAAGCACCTCTCTGCAAGAACAGGAGACACAAGCAAGTCATGCATTGTAACCGTATCACGGGGCAGCCCGAAACATGGCCTGGTCTGAAGAACCAGATCCACTGAAAACTGCTGTGCCTGCTTACACCTCGCACTGTGAGGGGAGGAGTTTTTAAAGGAAAGATGGTCTGCAAGGGCGAATAAAAGGAGGATCTTCTAGTGGTTCCTGTGCTAAACCTACGCTGAAGTAACTCATGAAAAACTCAATCCCAGGTTGTCGTAAGGTACCATAATTAGGCAAGTATTATGGAGCTATAAAATAACAAACCAAAACAAATCCCATTTTCGGATCCTTTAGCAATGGATTTACAGACAGAAATAGGAAAGAAACACCAGAATCTGGCAGAATTGCAACTGGAACAACGAAATCTCTCTTAATGGCATCAGGAGCTTCAAAAACATGAGGTCCCACCAGACATCCAGCTATAAGAAAGTCAATGCTGACATTCCAGCATCGGCCAGTGAGCAGCGGACTTGGCCAGCAGTCCCCAGGGCAGCCCTTGGAGCAAGATCCCCACAAAGCTCTGGTGCTGCAGCTCCGCAGGGCTGGGAAGGGACAAGGAAGGCTCTGGAGAGTCCCAGCTCCAGTGCGGCATCGAGGCACATCCAGATTCAGCTGGAAGGGCAGAGACATATCTCATCAAGGGCAGGACTGGTTTCAACATAAGCCTTAGCTGGCAGCAACGAGTGGTACGCAAGGACTAAGGTAATGCATTTCTAACTGTTGCCTGTGGCTGCTCCCTGCTCTGGGATCCTTTTTGTGGCAACCTGCAACCACAAAGACTGCACACAGAGCATACAAGAGGCGCGTCTTGTCTGCTGGAGCACTCGCTCCTCTGGCAGGCAGGACAAAAGCACAAGTTTTAAACCCTCTTTCCACCCTCTTAAGAGTCAACCTATGGCCACGGCTTTGCAAACCACTTTTGTGTCCATTGATTTCCAGCCCTGTGAAATATCCTTCAAAAGTAGGGTGCCTTACCCTGGAGGCTGCTGACACTACGCTTTGGAGCTGAAATGGAAACCTCCCCAGCAGACTTGTGTTTGGTGACATGTCTGAAATGGGGTGGTTCAGCAACATTCCCAACCGGGTGGAATCAAAACTTTCCTTTGTAACTTCCCCCCGTCCCCCAATGGGCCTTTTTCTTCTTAAAGATCAGAAAACAGTCCTTCAGCAGAAAGCCCAAAAGCAGACAGTCTCTGGCACACAAGTTGTCCTTTTAAAGATGCTCTCTCCAAAAGGAGGGCAAGATATTGACTGCAATGAGTCCATGAGGCAATATCCTCAACCCACCTGTATTTAGTCAATGGAGTAGGATCCCCAGCTCCAAAAACGTAGTTTTCATACCTTCTGCTTGGGGACCTTCTTATGGAGCAGTGAATGTCATTGTGCCTCCTTTTCCCCCAAACCCAATCCCATTTTTGCACTTTGCATTTGTCTCAAGAAATCAACTGCCTCGTGCATCTTTGTGGCTTATCCCTTGCCCTTTCTTCCTACAGGGCACTGTTACCCTGATGGGAGCTCATCTCAGATATCTAGCCCAGAGGTCAAACATTTTTGCTACTTGTTCTCCTGAAGAAGGTGACATTATCCTTGGTTGCTGCTGAACACCGCAGTTTGCTGTCTGTCTGCTCCTGATTTTCATTTTCTTGTGATGAAGAGTTGCCTTCTGCAACTTTCTTTGCACCTCCATCCTCCCTGCAAGGAGGTGGCCAGTGCTGTTCCTATGGTGAGTCCTCTCTAAGCTCATGGCTACAGCAGTGAAACAGACTGTCACAAAACTCCTGAAAATAGTCCACTGTGCCGTATTCCATACATCCCCATAGTATTTAATACATAGACATTCATAAACATCCAGCTTCCAATTTTGAGTATCAGTGAATAAGCAGCAAAAGATCTCTGAAGAGCTCTGTATGCCCCTTACTCTACAGAGGACTCTTTCAAGCCACCCTAACAGCTCAATCAAGACACAGGACCATTTTATGCAGTAAAAGGAGAATGTGCATTTAAAAGCAGTTCCCAGTAGCTGCATTTCTAAAATTAAATTTTATAACTTGTGTTATGGTTCCAAATCACAGTGGCTGGGTATTTCTTCCTGTTGCCAGGCCCTTTGGCACAGCTTGAACTGTCTCAGATTCCACACTGTGCTGTAAATTATCCCAAGGGGGGGGGGAATTAAAATATAAAAAGACATTATATAGTAGTGGTTTCATCATTAAAGAGTCCCATTAAGGCTTCTAAATAAAAAAAAGAAAAAGGAGGGGAGAAGACAAGAAAGATGAAAAAGACTTTTATCTGACATTCTGGTTGGTCAAGAGCAAATGCTTCATTTGTCAGCAGTGCAAAGCTGGACGCTGCCTCAAGCCTTGGGCTTCTAACACTGGACCAAACACGTGAAGTCATACAAGATGTGTAAAATACCTCACACATGTGGATTATTTTAAGCTTTGGCAGGCTGAACCCACAGCTTACAGAGCCAAGAGCCAGGTCCTTCCAAATCCATCCCCCCTAATGTAATTTATTCCTAATTTCAAATTCCGCTCAGACAACTTCTGCTTTTAAGTGAGTGCACCGACGCCAAGTCTGACCTCCTGCTACCCTGCTTTCTCCTCCTACCTCCCCGGTGCTGCCCTCCCGGCATCCAGAGTTTTGCCTGTCCGGCACGAATCCAAGCGTCCCGGCAGCCCAGCTGGTGCGCGAGCAGCCTCACACGGAGGTGAGCGGGTTCCTCTGAAGCCAGCAGCACAAGGGCTGCACTGGGGCCGGTGAGGCAAAAATTAACTTTCCCCTTTGAATCTAGCTCAGGCACTAAATTTGTGTCGAGCTGGCACAATGATGGGCAGGGCAGACAATCCCAAGCTTGCTCTGCACAACCCAGCTCGCAGGCAACAAGCAAGGCAAATCAACCCAGGCGCAGCATCCTCCTGAGGTCACCACGGGCACACCGTTCCCAGGCCAGCTCCATCTGAGCTGGCGGGAGCAACTCTGCAGGTCTGCAACGCACA